GTGGCTTTTTGAAGACTGGGCATCGGACAGGGAAGTAAAATGTCGCATTGAACAAGCTCGACAAGCTTTCGTAAAATTCAAGAAGGTACTGTCTTGTTCAGAGTTCGATCTTCAACTGAGACTAAGGTTTACTAAGTGCTACGTGTGGTCAGTGCTGCTATATGGCGTAGAGGGCTGGACACTCAAAACGAGGGATATAAACAGATTAGAAGCTTTCGAAATGTGGCTTTATCGCCGTATCCTAAAAATACCATGGACAGCGAAAATCACAAATATAGATGTCCTTAAAAGAATAAACCAAGAACGCCAACTTTTCGAAACCATCAAGAAAAGGAAAACGGCGTATCTAGGTCACATCATGCGAAATGAAAAATACCAGTTCCTCCAACTTATAATCGAGGGTAAAATTGAAGGCAAGAGAGGAATGGGACGCAAGAAAATGTCCTGGCTCCGAAACATAAGGCAATGGACAGGGATTAACGACATACAAGCTCTGATACATATTGCAAGAAATAGAGAATTAATGGAAAATGTGATCGCTAACATCCATTAGTAGATTTTCATCTGAAGAAGAAGTTTTCCATGCTGGGTAACAATATCCCTATAACATTGACTGCAGCGGTTTCTTTTTAGATATTTTACTAAATTGTGTAAATTATTAGCAGGCATTACATTATTGCGTTTAATAAGAATATCTTTGATAATTTCCTCTCTAAATTGTGTTGTTTTTATTGATTTGCTTATTTGTTACTTTAGAATAAAATGACAAGGCATTTACAATGGCAACATTCAGTAAAATATCAAAGGCAACTTTTCGGTACCATTTCAATAACCTCCTTGATGAATTATACGAATTCATTTGATCCTATACATGTGAAGGATTTTTCTGCATTATATTCTACTACAACCTGCGGTTTAAGTTAGTATTCTCTTCTTTGTATCACATTTATCATAGAAGGGATATGCTTCGAACTTACAGCAAGCACATATCGCCGATCCTGCCACTTCATTATCATTTTGCCTTGCAATAATATCACATTTTTTTAGTTTTATTTTAATAGCATCAATTGGATTGCTTTCCTATTGGCTCGAAGTTGCTCGAAGAGAAATATTTATATATCGTAAATTTGTGTGTGGTCCGAACGGTATTTGGGAAAATATTCAAACAGGACGTGACGGATTCAAATTTAAATATTAATTAAATAAATATGTATATTATTTATTATATATATACATATATATTAATGCAATTAATTTAAACGGAATGCAATGCAAACATACATTTACCGAGAGAGTGGTTGAAATAATAATTTTCTACGTTACAAAATCTTGCTGTATTCCACATTATGCTTAATAATTTAACTTTTAATTACGATTATCAAAAAAGCTTTTAAATTAACATCTACATGGTATTTATTTCGTACGTTAATGAGCAACTATTATGCTTTTAGAGTAGTTGGACTTCATCCAGACTTTTAGACTAAATTTATGTAGATAGTGTCCACCAAGAAATTTTCAATGAGTTAATGAACGCATAGAACCAGATGTCGTTAATTATTACTTTTTAAATTTATTTTCAGAAACACAATTTGGAGGTACATTAATAAGCACTTGCATTATTTAGAATGCTCTAGAGTGAGCTCTAGAGTTTGTTATTTTTTACTAGTGTAAACTAATTTTTACTTTTTGATAATATGTCGACGAAGGACATGTTTTATTACTAACTAGATTAATTAATTTACACATAGAATAAAACAAAGTTGAACAGTTTGTACCACAAATTATTTTCTGAGTTAATTAGAGACCATGATAGAATTATTTTTCCCTGACATTTCGTAAGCAGCTAAATAATAAAGTCGATGCTCTAACAGTAGGGTAGTTTTTCGGTTGATGGCCGAAATTTATCAGGATCTGCCATATCTGTCCTAACACTAGTTGTTAGCTTCTCATACATGTCCCTCACAATCTTCTCTTACTCACCGGCAACTCCTTTCTCATGGAGCGCCCACCAAAGAACCTCTCGAGGAACTCAATCATATAAATATAGAAGTTTTACAGCAACTTATAACGAAGAAGAATACGAAGAAAATGTCAATACCATACATAAAGGAATTATCAGAAAAACTTTAAAGATAGTATAATGTTTCTATTAGTCCTAATTTATTGTCTTTATTCTAATTTATTGTCTTTATTCTAATTTATTAAAACTCACGATAACTTATCAAAAGTCTTTATTTTATACTAATTTATTTTACACTTAATAATTACAAATAATTTATTTTGCGTTCGAACAATTTAACGCCAGATCGCGATCTTCTTGTTGACTAACTGTTCTCAATGAGAATCGCCGTTATTTATTTGAAACGCCGTTATCTGGAAGGATCTGGCGTGAAGTAGACGGAAGTTGACCTGAATAGGCTCGAACCTGTTTCCAGAAAGATCGAGTAGTAGTTGACCGCTTTCATATCGAAGGGGGACCCATAGTGTAGGTAGGTTTTTTACCTGCGTCTCGGCCGGTTCGTGATCTAGAAAATACGTGATTAGTCATAATGTATTTACAGTTTTTACACGTCATAATATATTCATTATTTATATCGTAACAATAGGAAATAAATTCAACATTTCAACAACACTCAAAACAACAAACACATTGAGATCTATTTTATCTAAAACTAAACCTAACAATGAACGAGAAAGAACAAAGAATTGTATTTATAAAATACCTTGTGAATGCGATCAGTTTTATTTAGGTGTAACATCAAGGAAATTACATTTTAGAATAAGTGAATATCAATCTTATATTAAAAATAGAGAATTTAATAGATCTCAAATATGTAAACACGCATGGGAAAATGAACATAAGGATTAATGGAATGATTCAAGTATAGTCCCAAAAGAAACAAATGGTAAAAAGAGAAAAGTCAAAAAAGCGGCTCTAATTAAGCTAAATGAGACCAAGTGTCGCAAATTTCTTGGCCTCGGCAGAATGCAGTAGCAATTGTTTACCCATAATAAAATAGAAAGTTAATAAAGGGAAAATACCACTATCAAGTAAGTAAGTCAGTAACATATCAAGGATTAACCATTTATGTTTTTTAAATAACAAACATATACATAAAATCAGAATTTGGTGTTTATTGAGAGTCAACTAAATATTCAACAACAAATAATTACCATGTTGAGATAGTATATGAAGTTTTTTTCCTGATTTTTTCTAATAATTTACTGTGGAATCACTAACAGGAGAATTTTACTGTCATCATGTAACGAAGATATTTTGCCTACCACATGGGATATTAATACAAGGGGTAGAAAATTGGGGACTGAAACTAAGGGGGTGGAGATAAGGCAAGCAAAATAATCGCTACTTGTGCGGACGGCACTCAGGGTTTGATAGGAGAGCTGGGGTCATGGATAAGTAAATGGCAAAGGGGTTTGGATTGGGGCAACTACAGAAATAAGAAACAAAAGGGGTACTAACATAATCTCTTGGTATAAACAAAGCAAAAAGAAACAGGAAACACCTCTAGTAATTTAATATAGGGCGCCACTTTGAGGTGAGGTAACAACTAGTTGTAATAGCAAAATAATTATTAAAAAATCAAACCATATCTGGGCGACATTTTTGTAACGATAACTTGGGATACTACTCGAATATAAAAAAAAGGAGTTAAAAAAAATAGACAAAATGTTAAGAAACAAAATTTTACATTTATTTTTGTGTCATACCACAAACAGTTACACAAATACAGACAGCACAAAAAATGCTATATTAGTTACAGAGATTCTTACCAAAATAATAAAGAAAACTTATATGTGTTCTACTGATTTACAAACTCAGGAGATGCTACAAAAACGTACAAATGTTACTGATAAACTGTGACAAATATAAAAATTATTACAAATAAAAAAAATATCTTTTTAAACAATGAAAGCAATTATTATTATTTTTTTAATGTCTATCTTGACTTTAAATTTTAGACACAGAAAAAGTTACCTGAACCTCACTAAACTTCACTCTGCATGTCTGGGGTCGGGAACTGGAATCATGCTGGAACTATACTGGGGGCAGATCCGTGATGACGATCAGGGATAAGAAGATGAGGGCCGGAAGCCAGCACCGGCTGGAACACAACCTGGAAAACTCGTCTCCTTCAAAGACTGGAACAGGCACAGCACAATGGCAACATGAGGCCATCTTCAAAAACTATTGTAAAACTGCTCAATACCAAGTATCCAACTGCTACTGTCACTTAATGCTACATTTCCATGACAAGAAAAGGAAAACGAAAAGATTTCGAATTTGAAAATAAATTCGGACTCCAACAAAACTGAACACGCCTCGATCAGAGACCGGCTTTACCGAGAGTAACGAAATTATCCTCAGAAATTGATCGCATAACTTAAAATAACAAAACACAACGGAAATTAAGACATAGATTATTAATTTGAAAACGTAGTACATCGGGTGGCTTAAATCAAAGAATATCGAGCGACATACGCAGCTGCAAAATGGATAAACAACTCTAAAATGGTTTTTATTATGAAAAGAATGAAATATTATTTGGGTTTTTATACATACGATAGAAAGACACATTAAAAATATTCTTCGATTTTTTAAACATATATGAGGGGATTTCAATATATTACATATACGAGGGGATTTCAATATACACCAAAGGATCAATGAAATTGCAAATGCTATAATCATGGCATGAGGTTGTCTTCTTAAAGACGAATTACATGCTATGATTTTTTCTGACGGCTATTCTCAGGTTAAAGTTGATTTGTTGAGTCAGATAAAAGTAAATTATTAGAAGAATTTTTCACCAAGTAACAAAAAACAAAATTTGTTTAATTGTATGTTGAGAACGATTTACGAAGTGGAAATTGAAACGTCAATAAACTTATTTTAATCTCTAATTGTGGCTTATTCCACTAAAATAGTAAATACTTTGAAAATACTGTAATATATTAGTAATAATCTTTTTTATTTTCAGAAGTAATGGTCAGCTTAGAAACACGCTGAACAAAGCACGTACGCTGTGTGATAAATGGCGGGGAAGTGGAGGCATAGGTTCAAACAACCGTCTGTCCTTGGACAGTGCTTTGCCAGTCGACACTTCCCCCCAAAATCATGGCAGATTGTCCCGATGGTTTTCCATCAGAAGAGGGAGTAATCATCAGTATGATATAGAAAATGCAGACGCCCAAAGAACCCCACCAAATTCCAATAAAATGCCACAATTGCCAGAGGTAAGATTTTTTGCTGATATCCTTAAACGCTTATCTTTTGTTATTTATATTTCTAAAAAGCTTTATGGTACCCCTGTACACAGTTTCCTGAGATTTCTGAACCAGAATATTTGGCATTTGATCAAATGAAAAGGCAAATATCGAGCACAATATATTAATTAAATATTGCCTAAGTACTTGCGGTTTCTAGAGCATCTTCAGGGGCATCTGAAATATGCCAAAAACGTTTTTTTAACTGAAGAAAATCAATTAACTTCGATAATAAACTCGAAGTTGAAGGTTGATAAAAGTTTTTATCTGATATAACGTTTTAGACTTACTTCGTCAATTTTGGCCTATCCAACAATCTGTGAAGAATGACATAAACATAAAATTGTATATTATACTACAATATGACAGCTTCGATGGGCAGTCACAATCATGGTGATGCGATCTGCACATTTCAAAATTCTATGAAACTAAGCAACTGACACTACTGACCTCTGGTCAGTGCTTAGTTTCATAGAATTTTGACATGTGCAGATCACATCACCACTATTGTGACTGCCCATCCAAGCAAAGGATATGATCCATAAGATATTAGACTTAATTTTTGCCCAGCTTTCTTCGACTCCATCACTTTCTGTGATATGTGTTTCTGCTTTTTTCGGTTATTCTTTTTTGGAACAGGTATCTTGTGGAGGCATCCTGTGAAAGCCAGGAGACATTTCTTGAAAATTCTTTTGCATGATCATATTCATCAGAGTTTCAGAGTATACATTGAATCGAACGGTGATATCGCAAAGCCCTGTCTCACCCCTCTTTTTGATTTCGATTACTTTTTATTTGTTTTATTATTGCGTACGATCGCTAGTTATTTGTACAGATTTTTATAATCTAAAGGTCATTGTAATCTGTTTTACTTTCAAGACTTCCATATGCTGACGCTGTCTGTAAGGGGCTTTATCAAACGACTTATTATAATCTATCTATGAAAGAAACTTACATATCTCTATTAACATCCAAGCATCTCTAAATTAATACATTGAATGTAAAGAGAGAGAGATAGTGGTCATGTAGAATATCATCATCATCATCATCATCCAGCCTCTATTTATCACGTCCACTGCTGGACATAGGCCTCCCTTAAACTCCTCCATTTCTCACGATTTTGTGCTCTTTGTTGCCAATTTTTAGTGATACTCCTGATGTCGTCGGCCCAACGTGTAGGTAGTCTTCCTCTGCTGCGTTTGTCTGCTCTTGGCCTCCAATTTGTAATTTTGCTCGTCCATCGTGAATCGTGCATTCTCGCTACATGGCCTGCCCAGTTCCATTTTAGTTCCGCTATGCGTTCCACAACATCAGTAATACTCGTCCTTCTTCGCAGATCTTCGTTTCTTATTCGGTCCCTCAACGTCACTCCCAGCATAGACCGTTCCATTCGTCTCTGTGATATTCTCAGTTTCGAAGCCGTGGTCTTGGTTAAAGTCATAGTTTCCGCTCCATAGGTCATGACCGGTAGTACGCATTGGTCAAACACTTTTCTTTTGAGGCTGATTGGTATGTTGGCCCTAAGTGTGTCTCGCAGTTTTCCAAAGGCTGCCCATGTTAAAGTAATTCGTCTTTGGATCTCACATGTTTGGTTATCCCTGGTGATTCTTATTTCATGACCCAAATACGTATATTTCTCCACCAGTTCTACCACTTTGTCTTGAACAGTCAAATGGTTATTGGGGACCAAATTTGTCATAAACTTAGTTTTGGTCAAGTTCATTCTCAGGCCCACCTTCGAACATGCAAAATCCAATTCGTTTAACATATCTGTAGCTTCTCCTAAATTATCTGTGATAAGGACAATGTCATCTGCGAAACGGAGATGGTTAAGCTTTTCGCCGTCTATCGTTACTCCTCTGTGGTCCAAACTGATCATCTTAAAGGCATATTCTAATGCCGTTATGAATAATTTCGGCGACAATGTATCTCCTTGCCTTATTCCACGATTTATTTTTATTGGTCGGATATGTAGAATATAAAGAAGACATATTATTGAAATTATAAAGAAACACTGCTCAATACAGCAGCGATATCGATTTACCCAAAAGGACACTTATTCCCAAATACAGCGGGAAACAAATGTATGAAGCTGAAACGTGGATATTGACAGATACTATGTAATAACTGCGTATACCGTGCATTTTATGGATTTATACCTAACACAAAAGTACTAATCCAACTTAACAAACAATTCGTACTGCTTAAAACAAAATATGGAAAGGTTATAACAATGTGCAAGATTAATTGTCACAGAACTTTTTGCTGAGGATATTACGGCAATTATATGGAAACAATACCTTATGAAAAGGTAGTAGAAAAGGTGTAAATGACTGGTAATCTAAAACGAGTGAGAATGATAAAAATGATATAAAATCAGAGAAATAATGTCAATCAACCACTATATTTTACCGCGAAATTACGTGAAAGCTCGTTTTAAAGACTTAATAAAATATCATATAAAGTTTTTAATTATATTAAACCGTATTTGTTAGTTATTCTTTAGGTGTACACAAACCAAACTGAGTTGTTTTATTTCTAGGTGGAAGAAGAAGCTGGTTTACATTTTTCCAGCTGCAACTCTTCCCAGCGGCGGCAGCTACCACCCAGTTTACCCCCGCCTCCTCCTAATTTAACCCCCTTACAGTTAAAAAGGAGGATGATAGTATCAGCCATTGTACATAGTGAGAATTCATACATAGCTACCCTGCAAAGGCTAGTAAACGTAAGTATTGTTTAAATCGAACAATAAATAAAGTGTTAACTTTTTAAATAGGACTTTTCGGCAAAAAATAGTGTCGGCCATTTTTTTTAACAGATATTTTATAAACTAACAGGTTTTGTACCTAGAACTATCCCATAATGTTCATTAAATATTGAGCTCTATGATGTATCATCTACGGAAAATAATTACATGGTGTAAAGTCCAAATCGGTATGATTGTATCATCCAAGTATAACGGGTTGCCTACTTTGTACTATTTCTGTGTATTTGTTTGTTTTCTTACATAATTTTGTAGTGTACCAGTTTTGTTTATACGCCACAAAAAAGAATACAAGAAAACAATTACCAGTTGATGTTGGACTTTTTTATTAAAATGGTTCTGACTGGCAAAACAAAACTAACAGATCTACAGTATGTGACAGAACCGTAAACAACCGTTGCAAATAAAAAATGTAGCTGAGATAATTTTGAACAAATACGTTTATTAGCCCTTTTTCTACAGAATGAACCGTTTTCTTAGACACATCGCTATAAACGACTGGTGATTTTAAATGTCAGGTAGGTACGCCTGCGAAATTATCTCGGCAAAAATTTTAGAAGAAAGCTGCACTTTTCACCTTTGAAATCCATTTTGATTTTTGTCAATAGGACACTTTGATCACGGGGAGGATTAGGAGAATACATTGATAAGAAGTTGCCAGTCAAAAAGTGGCCGCATTTTTAATTCAATTAATAGTAATTAATGTTGGAACAAAAATTTTATTTTGTTATTTTTTCAATAAAATACGCTGCTCATGACATATATGCATCTTTTTTATATCAAGTTAAAGCTAATTTTTTTCTTAATATTATGAATAAGATTGGCTCAGAAAAAATGGTCTTAAATTAGGGTTGCCAGTTATTAAAAACGCGAGGTATCAAAAGTAGATTTAGATATATTAGTGCTAGTATGAATGTATACATACTTGTAGAACATTTACGCCATTTATATGTAATGCAATTGAATAACAATAGTATATCAAAATTTTGTTATGTTTGTATCACTACTATAAAATCTCTTCTTTCTTAGGATTACAAAAAGCCCTTAGAAGAAAGCAACCCTCCAGTGTTAAGCAGTTCAAAAATCCAAACTTTATTCCATAGACTACCAGAGATCTTACAGTGCCATACACTTTTTCGAATAGCTATAGCAGAATATGTCAGAAATTGGGACAGGGACGAGAAGATCGGCGATGTGTTCGTAGCTTCGTTTTCCAAAGCTATAGTGCTGGACATTTATAGCGGTTTCATAAACAACTTTTCCGTTGCCATGGACCTTGCGAAGATGGAAGCGAAAAGAAAATCGGCGTTGGCAGATTTCCTCAAGGTAAAGCTAGTTCAAGCAATACTTTAGCAATTATCTGTTATTATCTGCATGTTTTTTTAATTTATTATTTGGTGATTATGTAAATTATAATTAAAATATCTGATAAAAAATTCAGTCAGTGTCAACAGGGTCTTATCAAAATACTGGTCTTGAATTTTACAGATTTTTCATCACCAATCAAAATAAAATCAACTTAAATTCGTTTTATATTAGATGACTCTTAATTTAAAAAGATGAAAATAAACTTTCCAAAATGCAGTCTGCTAACTCAAATCTTAAGGTTATTATATTGAAAGCTGTAAAGGTATGGATACACGTGTTCAAGGAATCAAGCTAGCTTTTTAACGATTTTCACCGTCCCTCCTTCCATCCATAATATCTTCGACATTGCTTCAGGGGCAGATACACGGGAAGGGAAAATGGGAAAATTTGAAAGTTGGTGTTTCTTTGGAAGTTACCACCCCTCCAAGGAAAATGTCTAGATCTGCCTCTACCTAGCTTTCGGTTTTTTTTCGCTATATAATCTAGGCGTGCATTTCCAGCTATTCCTAAGCTAAAAAGATGAACCTTTCTGTCCATCTGTTTGGCATTTATTGTAGATCTGTTGGTGGATAGCAACATCTAGTCCTTTTTTTTCTTCTTTGGAATCCATTTGTTTTACACCGGTTATACTGCAGTCAATTACATCTAGCAAAGATTTCACATTTAGAAAATTTTGCGTGTCAGCTGCCACATCATTATCCACCTTTTCCGTCTTACGTCTTGCATTTTACATACTAGGACTCTTTTCGACAATCTTTCGGTGTTCATTCTCACTACATCACCAACCCATCGAAGTACCTGAAGTTTAAGGCCTACCGTACATCTTCCATTAACATACGAGTCCTGATTAAGGTAGTTTAGACCTATTTAGGGCAGAAAGTCCTGTTTTGGGCCATTTCGTCTACATTTTGTTACTGTTAGTTGGACCGAAATGCTTCCAGGTTCACGCACCGTCCATACGGTGTTAAGAGTTATAATCCTCCAGCGTTCCTCTGCTATCTGAGGCATTGTTTAATCAATACATCCATTCCATGGTCACGATGGGGTTATACCTCAAAATTGGAGAGCGCAGTAGTCGAAGCACAAATCATACGCTTGATAAACCAGTTGTGGCGCAGCTGTGTGGTGATTTGCAGATTGAGCGTTTTGAGAGGAGTGCAAATGTGTATGCATATTTTGCCTTACGTGTTTTGTGTGTCACGTTCATGTTCAATGAGCAAATTTACAGTCAATGATATAGCTGGAAACCCTATTCATGATATATACCTTATTCACACCTGTCCTATATATCCATCGAACAACAGCAGTTGTTCCCTTACAGCAGTTTTGACACGCTGTGTCACTGATAAGAACTTCCTCACCCAATATGTTCTGCGTAAAGTCCTTTTTAGTACAGAACTTGCCCCGAACATTCTCAGACCGGGATGAAACATGAAGCCCTGGATTTCACTATATTATTTTTCATCACCTATATTCAATAACATACATGAATAACTCTTCTCACCTAATTCTTGAGTTAACCGGTTATAATGCATCACATTCCAGCCTTATTCTTCATAGAAAAAGGGTTGCTTTGCAAACTTTATGGTTCATATTTATGTATACCCAAGATAAAAGGTTAATTACATATTTTAAAACTTTCATGATGCTACAAGAGATTTGGTTGTTTATGAATTTTCTAAATATAAAGTAAATATATCATTTTAATGTTTATTTTTTTTTCTAGGTGAAGCAAATCAGTTCACATGACCGATTATCATTTTTTGGACTTATGGTGAAACCTGTCCAAAGATTTCCACAGTTTATTTTATTTTTACAGGTAAGCAGCACTTTGATTCACTATTATTAATGTTATTGGCGTTACAATTATTGTAGCAGATGTATATTATTTCAACTTGTTGAAGCCAAACATGGAGTACATATTAATAGTAAAAATATTAGACGATCAATATAAAACATATTAATAACCAAATTAATTCATTTTACCTACACAGCAGATGAGCATAAATAAGAAAGAATTAAATATTTATCTAAAATCTTTTAAGACAGTTTTAAGAATCAAACATTGATAAATCTTTATAGTATTGATTGGACAGCAATATTATCAAAGGGAAATTTTTGATCTTGGTTTCTGGATTGGAAGTGACATCAGTGGAACAAAGTCTATATAAAAACGCTTTTCTTAAAATTTACGATTTACTGGCGATGTCTATCATGCTTACTTCTAGTTCTCATTGTTAATTAATATAACTAAAATCACACCGACTTTGTAAAATTTGTTTTATATTTCATACAACTCTCGTAAAGTAACAAAATTACTTTTTGGAACGGAAGATACTACGGACTATATTTGGGTCTTGCAGAGACGAGAAAACAGGGAAATAGAAAGGAAGACATAATCAGGAACTCCAGACACTCTATGGAGATGAAAATATAGTATGCTTCATCAAGGCAAACCGAATAAGATCGGCAATATATGTACTAAGTTCGATTAGTGAAGACTATATGTTCCCCCTGAAATAGCCCTCAAACGGAATTCCAAACAGAGGTTACCCGTATCCAGTCACTAGGAATCACCGATTTTGTATGGGATACCATATTTCATATAAAAAACTATGAGAAACCGAGAGGTTGCAGTTATATTTCTGTCCTAGCAATGAAAAAACAACTATTTATGATCGGAAATAGCTTTATTTTTCAAAATATTCTCCATGAAATCCTTGAATCCTTTTGCATTCGTTTGAACCAATTTTTAAAGCAATTTTTCCACTCAAATTAAAGTAACTCCAAAACATGGATCCGCCAAATCAGGACCGTACGGCGGATGACCCGTTAATTCGATGTTTTGGCCGGATAAAAACTCCATTGTGTATGAGCTTGCATTATCGTAGTATAGAATGATTCGTCTCTTCTTTATATTTTTCCAAATTTCACTGAAAACTTCTGGCAAACAAATGGTTGTATACCATTCAGAATTGACCGTCATACGTTATTTTAACAGCACGGTAGCTACATGACCATTTATATATACCAAAGAAACAAGCGACCATTTGTTTCGATGTGCTTCTTCTACGAACATATTTTGTTAAATTTGGTAAACCTTGGAACACTCATACGGTCAATTGCTGTTTTGTTTCGAGCTCATATGCGAGATCCTTATTTCGTCACCTGTGTAGATGTTACACAGCAATTGATGCACCGCGATACCATTTCTTCTATTCCATTTACTTGCATCAATTGACACGAGCCTATTTTTGACCTTTTGTCAAATTATGTGGGATTCAATGTGAACAAATCTTTTTACAGAAAAATGATAGTGCAATATCTTATTGATGCTTGTCATACTAACGCCCAAGGATGGCTCAATCTGTCACAAGACGATCTTGCTTTATCAGTTCACGCACAGCATCGATGGTTTCTGGTATTATAACAGCCGATTTAAGGCGACCTTCAAGGAATTCGTCCTGAAGAGAGCGCCGACTACGACTGAATTCATTGTACCAATTCTTTACGGTGCTAAAAGATGTTGCTTGATACCCGTATCACGATTTAAGTTTATCGATGCACTCTTGTCTTAATATTCTACGTCGAAAATTATTATAAATTATCGCACGAAAATGTTCACTGTTCAATACCATTTTTTGGACGGGACAAATTTTTCAAGCTGCTATAAATAACACAAGTATTGCTCATACGTCAAAACGTTCTGTCAAACTGTCAAATGTCAAACTTTCCAGTGCGAGTGTCAGATGCCAGTGAGCAGTTGGAGTTGTAAAGCCGATGACAAAATTAAAAAAGGCATTAAGAAATAAAACAACTGACAATAAATAATAAAAATAAAATAAATAAAATGAAGCAATTTTTATTATGGCAGTCTTGATTGCTGTACTTATAAAAATAAGGAACGCACAAAGAAAACGCAATTTTTGATTCAATAATTGATAGCTATAAAGCTAAGCCGAATATTAAAATGAATTAAAAACAATGTGTAGGAAATAATCAGTTTCTCAACTTGAATGACCGACATGAACGGGAAATTTGGGAAACATTTTAGTTTTTTGTGGAATCACTGTTATTGTTTTGTATTTATTTAATCTTTGAAATATACTCTTGTTGTGATTTTCCTAGCTTCTAAACCGCTTTGTTTTTAGGATCTGTTAAAATACACGCCACATGGCCATCACGACCGCATGTCTCTCCAGTTAGCTCTAACCCAACTCGAATCATTGGCAGAAATGCTCAACGAAAGGAAGAGGGAAGCGGAACAATATCAAGCATTTAAAGAAATGCTGAGAAACATTAGCGGAAAGTTCTCTGTCAGGCCATTGTCAGACAGTAATAGGTATCTTCTACGGGAAGATAATGTAACACAATTGGTAAGTATTTTTTGTTATATACGTTTACCAGTAATAGATTTGTGTGCTAGTATTTAGATGTTTTTCTCGCAAAAATATACAATTATTTGGTTAATTAATGGCAGCGAAAAATAGAAATGTAACTGTAAGAATAAATCTACCACGAAACTCGAAATCTAAGATTTCTAATTGTCGAAACTAAACTCAGATTATTGCTTTAATCTGTGCCTTCTAAGAATTGCAAGGCAAAACAGACGTTGAAAAAATTTGCAAAAGTACATTGTTTTACCTTTTACACTTTTAATTTTAAAGTAATTCCAAATATTACTTTTAAGTTTTGTAGTTAATTTTGCTTTACTTCAATCGATTCTAAATACTTGCACGTTAATATAGCACCAAACAATAAATACTGACACTGTAAACACGCTAGCTAGTGGTTCGTGGGATTCCCCGGCTACTTCGATTTTGCGAAATTTTATCTAAAATCGCGTCAGCGATTCTTCAGCCGGCCAAAGAAGCCAAATGCAAAACATATACTAGGTGAATTGGCAAAAACAATATACATATTTTTTAAATTATAATAATTTGACCCATATCTACATAGTTTTTATTTTGTTTCGGTTTTTGTAAATATAAAAAATTCTCGCTGAAAATTTTCTGGCCGAGAATATTTGGCTGATAATTCTCGAGAATATTCTTTTTTTACATCACTAGCACTTATCTAACCAGGCAATGCAAATTAAATTATTTAACATTATTTATTGAACTAAGAGAAAACTAAACGGACTATTTGACAGCAAAGACGTAATCTAATTGTTTTAATGGATTCTTTGCTTTTTTTAATCTCTCAAATATATCTTATTTACCTTTTTTTCAGGAATATAGCCAAAACGGCATGATAACCAAAGCAAAGAGCCGACGACTACTTCTCCTTAACGATCTAGTTGTCTGCGTCGCGGTAGCTTCCAAGTCAGCTGACGATTTCAGCAACAATGAAAGACTGAGTCTAAAATGGACCTATCCCGTATCGGACATTGAAATTCAAGATACCAGTACTTCTCCTACGCTTAGTAGGATACTTACGTCACACGGTTCTAAGGGAGGAAGCGTGAAGTCTAACGGCTCATTCGAAGGGACTCCTCCGCAAGAAGCAAGTAACTTATGCGCCGAGATGAGCAATCTCATGCACGACTATGAAGTTATGAGCAGAATAAGTGATCTTACTGGTAAGATAAAGTTTTTTTGATAGTTTCAGTAACGCATCATTAGACAACGTTTATAGATCATACAATATTCTGAACCCCCATTTTTTAGAAACCATGTTAAAAATCGTTTCATTTTTAATTAGGTATAGTTATCTCCATATTTTAAATTGATATCCTATTTTCAGAATTTTGACTGTAGTTATACCTTAATGTTTCTTCTTTGGGTGCCGTGTCCGTATTCAGACGTTGGCCGCCATCATGTTTACAATTTCCTGAAACCTTTCTCTGTCGGCTGCCGCGCGAAATAATTCTTCTACTGTAGAACCACATCATTCTCTAATATTACGCAGCCATGAAAGTTTCTTTCGACCAATCCATCTCTTTCCTTGCACTTTTCCTTGTATTATAAGGCGAAGTAGATGGTATTTAGGTCCTCTAATATGACCAAAGTATTCTGTTTTTCTCCTCTTTATGGTGTTTATGAGCAGACGTTCTGAATTGATCATTTGAAGAACATCTTCATTGGAAGTGTGCGAAACCCACGATATCTTTAGGATTCGTCTATAGCACCACAATTCGAATGCTTCTAACTTGTTTAGCATTGTGGTTTTTAACATCCATGTCTCACAACCATACAATAGGATGGACCACATATAAAATTTCAGGACCTTCTTACGAATATTCATCAACAGGTTTTTGTTGCATAAAACTGGTTTCCACGTCATAAAAGCCTTAAGTGATATTTCGATCCTGGTTATTATCTCTTCATCAGAGTCACAATTTATATTTAACCAGCTGCCCAGGTATTTAAAATGATCTCCTCTACATTAAGAGAAATCAGACCTTGATCTTTCCAAATGCCATCCACTTTGTCTTTGAAATGTTGATTTTAAGGCCTATCCGATAACTTGCTTAACCTAACCGAATAACATAACAATTGTAATAATATATCTAAAGAATATATGGTGGGTAGCTGTAGCTATTCAAAACTTAGATCATTGATTACGTTTATCAGCTACATTACAACTGAACAAAAACCTTCAAATATAGAGTAGGCTATCAAGTTTTGCAGTTTTGGAATGTTGGTTGCGGAGATACAGATACCGAGTGATGGGAGGGATCAATGCCACTTACGTGTGATTCCTCGCTTCAACAATGATTCTCATGTCCCTAGCCCGCTATTTCAATCGCATTACTAGTTACACAATATAAGTCAGTGTTCAAGCGTTCATTTAATTTAGTTTAATTAAATCATGGGTTAAAAACTTCAAAGTAACCTGCAGGTGACTATCAATCAAAAACAAACAGGACCCTGAACCTTTGGTAATAGCCCGAGCATCTTTGATACAATTTTCTGGAGGTCCGCCAACTTTTACATTTTTTCTCTAATGATACCCAGTTGGGCATCTAAACAAACAAAATTACAAAATTTAAAGTCGACAAAACCCTAAACTATAACACCAAAGACCTTTTCATTCTTCAAAAGAAAATTCAATTACCTAGGAGTAGAGATCACTAGTGACAGCGATATAAGAGCAGATACCACAAGGCAAGCATCAAAAGCGGCAAGAGTAAGTGGCTGCCTCCGAGAAACGTTAAATCAAAAACTAAACAAGAAAGCCCTGAAATTAGTATTTCCACCACCAGAGAAAAAACCCAGTACCTGCTGCTCGATTACATACACAGGCAAAATAACAACAAAAATTGCCAAACACATAAAAAAGAAAGGAATAACACCAGCTTTCCGAACAAATAACAACCTAGGCAAATAACAAAAGCCAAAATAAAAAACACTTAAATAGTAGTGTGTACAAACTTCAATGTGGCGACTGCCCAAAAACTTACATCGGTCAAACTGGTAGAAACTTTGATAAACGAATAGCAGAACATGAAAGGGCTTTCAACAATAGAATAACAGATTCGACATACGCACTTCACCTTCTAGATCATAATCATTCTTTTAATGACAAATTTAAAATTCTTCACATTCAAAATAAAGGCCTTAAGCTATCTTTGTTAGAATCTATGGAAATCAACAAATTAAAAAACACAGATATAATTTTGAATGACCAACTTGAGACAAATAGTTCTCCCCTCCTCAACCTATTTTATTAGAGACTATAAATTTGTAAACCCAAGCCAAAAATAGATCACTTGAGAAAGGCAATCAGCCGAAACAGCTGTAGTGATAAGATTTAAAATAAATTTTGTGGAAGTTTGAAAACAAAGTTTTCAGTGTTTTATTGTTACAACAATTTTCACAATTCTTCAAGAAATCAATATAAGGTTGAATGTTCGAATAATTAAACTTTGACGGTATACAAGGCAACTATCGAACACGGTGATTAATTTAATCTTGCCCAAGTACTTTCGATCAATAGATCATCATTCTGTCTCCGGCTTCTATACAACATGTAGCTTCTCCTTTTCAAAAATGTTAAAGTGTTTGTTTGTCTTTGTGTATTGTATTTTGTATTGTTATGTCCAAATTTACATTTATGACATTCTACTCATGTCGGATAGGCCACAACTGACGAAATGCCCCTGAAGATGATCTATTGATCGAAAGTACTTGGGCAAGATTAAATCAATCACCGTGTTCGATAGTTGCCTTGTATACCGTCAAAGTTCTTCAAGAAATGGCTAACATACTCCGCGCTTTGTGTAGAAAAGTTTTAGAGGTTTGCGAGCTGGTGGCCATCATTCAACGTTAATACAATTTATTTTAATACAAAATGTATTTCTTTTTTCAATGAGCTCCAAAAGTGCAAAAATGTATAGCCAACACTGTATTCCTGTAAAATAACTTCCGATAATAATCTTTCGTACTGTCTTCACAAGACAGATGTAACTGCTACCAGGTCGTTCAAAATGTAACTTTTTTTAGGTCAACTAAAGGGTAGCTACAAAGACATCAACCTAGATAATTCTAGAAAAATACTTCACCAAATCCAGAGTTCGATCCAACAAAAGGACGAAGAAATGGCATGGATGGACTCGTGTTGTCTTCAGTTAGTGATCAAAGTCAAAGGAAAAGAGGAAATATTCACGTTCCAAACTGATAACCCTAATATCAAGAAGGAGTGGATTACCGAATTGAGACTGGCGCAGTTGGCATTGGACCCGAACAACTCTCCAGCCTGGGAAGTACCTGAACAAGAACAAAGGCCGTCTACAAAAATGCCGCTGTTCGTGAAGTCGCAGAGTGTCTACAGTTCACAGCATCAAACAGAGGTATGTTTTTCTAATCTATGTATTCAATATTATTTTTACCTAATACAACTCGTTATTTTCACAACTTCACTTTTTTTTTCAAACTCCTTTCAAGACATCTTGTATTATGATCAAGTGTCGTGGAAAGTATGTCTACAAGAGTTTAAAGAACATCAGTTCGATCATAATATAGTTATTGCAATATAATAATCTGAATAATCAGCCGAGAGATCTATTTAGAAAAATACGCTGCCTGACAAGAGACTTCAGAGCCAGAACGTGGGCCATTGAAGATAACACTAGAACCCTGAGAACAAACAGAGAAGACATAGCAGAGATATGGAGATCGTATTGCAGGGACCTATATAAAGATGATCAACGCCAAGAGCTTGTTAGCCAAATCTCTGACGAGGTGGAAGAAGAACCTGATATACTCGAAAATGAAGTAAGACAGGCTATCAACAAGCTCAAATATAACAAAGCACCAGGTCCAGATATGATAACAGCAGAAATGCTTAAAGCCACAGAAGAAACGGGCGTAAAGTTACTTCATCTACTCTGTAACCAAATATGGCATTCTAAATAATGGCCTGAAGACTGGACAAAATCTACAATAACGACCATACATAAAAAAGGCAACTGCTTAATATTCCCAATACTGACCTACGGATGTGAAACTTGGACTCTGAGACAATCGGAGAGAAGAAAGATAGACGCCACTGAAATGTTCTGTTGGAGACGAATGTTACGAATTTCTTGGACCGACCGTAGAACAAATAATTCAATTTTAAGAGAGCTAAAACTTAGCCAACGACTCTCTAGAAGTCCATCCCCAACAATTAAAATATTTTGGGCATGTTATGAAAGCAAACACAGAAAACATGGAAAGACTCATAATAAAAGGAAAGGTAGAAGGCCGAAGATCACGAGGAAGATCCCCAACAAGATGGATAGATCAAATTACAGGAATATGCCAAAGACCTATGCATGAATTAAAAGAAATGACCAGAGACAGAGATCTCTGGAGACGGGCAATACACGACATCACGTCGACCACTACACTCGCCCTGGGGGGTCAGGATTGAAAAGAGAGAGAGAGAGAGAGAGAGAGAGAGAGAGAGAGAGAGAGAGAGAGAGAGAGAGAGAGAATCATATTGCTCATATTCTCAGATCGTCTATATAGTTTTTTTTTGTCAAGAGATGCATATTTTGACCTTGCCTTGTAAGCTTTTTGCTTTTTTTTCTATTTCGAGTTTAGAGAGTACATATCAAAGTTCTTTTTATCCAATGTGTAATATCTCTTTTGGAGAGATTTGGAAAATGTTCCTCTACTATAACATTCTTTTTCAAATAAATTCATTGCAAATAAATACTCAGCTACTCAGAATTACAGAAACCACGCGTTTATATTTACTTTTAGGAAAGAAAATAATAAACAACCAATTAATATTGTTCTATAGATTCATAACACGGGTTTTTTAGGTGCGCTGTGGTTGTTACTACACTGTAACTTTACCAAAGACAGCCAAAAGGAGACATCGGATTCAAAACTACCTGTGGGTTTGCACAACAGATGGAGCCAGCAGTCACATTTCCGTACTTGCTCAACACCACCAACAGGCTGGATATCTGAAAGACTTCACATCATTTTCGCTAGTGGAAACTCAGATAACCGCTATGGAGTTTGTAAAAGGTCAGTTTAGAATGTTTCGTCTAATAGTATTGCTTAGATGTTGAAAGTCTTCGTTTTCTTAAATGTGTTACTTACTTGTAAAAATTACTTTTTAGGTTCTTCGCCACCGTGTCCAAACTTAGCTACAGATACAGTTTGGATTGGTACCGACAGGCACAAACTTCTCTTGTACGCCGCCGATGAACCTGAAAAACAAGAAGAAGTAGCCAATACGACAGTTTCTGACGTCATAATGCATATTAAATACCACTGTGATAATGTTTTCGTGGCTCTGGCCAATGGAACAATTTGTGTATATAGAAAGAACCCCATAGACGGTGCTTGGCTCATCAACGAGCCTCAAGTCTTGAATTTAGGAACTGACCCAGTATCGTGCTTATTGCCAATCAATCTTTCGTTGTATGCCGCTTGCGGAAAGAAGGTTTGGGTATTAAATGGTATGACAGGAGACGTACAGAAAAATTTCTCTATACAACATGAGCATTTCGGAAATGTCAATCTAATGGCCCACAGTGGTATTGGTTTATGGATATCACAGAAAAATTCTAGTACAATATGTCTGTACCACACAGAAACGTTCAAACATCTCCAAGACATTAACATAGCTTCCATTGTGATGAGAATCAACGGCTCTCTAGGTCCCAGAGATTCTTTGAACAACAATAGATCGGTGGTATATGTGACTGCTCTTTTAGCTTGTAAGGGATTGTTGTGGGTAGGAACTAATGTAGGTAGGGCTTTGACGATACCACTGCCAAGACTAGAAGGAGTGCCCATCATCAGTGGACGTGTGAATATTTCCTATCACGCTCATTTTGGACCAATTTCTTTTCTACTAGCTCTACAACCAAAGAATTACAAGTATGTATATCTATATGTATATTTTGAATCACTATTTCTGAAAATATTACTGTAATAGATTAAATGATAAATTCACATTTCTCGTGTGTTTTTTCAATACATGTAGCAAAACATATTGTGAATCAAGCTGCCAGAGATCTTACTTAAAAAGATCCTGTAGGCTTACAAAGAAGAAAATTGGCAAAATTCCGTATTTAGCTAACTAATTGATAAATACATAAAGGTGAAAAATAAAAAATGTACATAATTAAAAACGTGCTACTTTATATTGTATTGAGGCTTATGGAAACACAAACATGTATGCAAGAGAAAAAATAGGCAATTGTTAGGTTGACGTCGCTCATAGGTAAACGTCAAGCTTCCATCAAAGAGAATATCTCATTTATGGATAACTTTGGATAACTTTCCAAAGCGTGTAACACAACAAACGATGGAGATTGTTTAAAGCATACAAAAAGAACGATAACGACTCACCTGATGGAAATTTTTACAAATAGCTTCATACGATTTGTTCGGCGGTCAAGTAAAGAATGACAGCGGCTCCGCCGCTGTTTTCTATTATATTATGTCAACGATCCATCGTACCACTCAATCTGATCAATAGGAAAGAAGTTCTAGGTAAAAATTTACATCACCTCTCGAGAATCATTGATTTATTAAAAAAATGTAATGTTATTGTTATTTAAAACGCAGTTAGTTATACCGGGATGCATAAACAATATTTCGTTTCGAACTAAATTCTAATAAAGGAAAAATTTAAGTTTTTTTTGATGGTTACAAGCGATTGAGTTTCCTCTGGTGAAAAGCAGATTAACGTTTACTAGAAACATGTATCTAGTTATTTCTAAATAGACAAAGTGCATATTTACTGGTTGAAACTGTTTTCAAGGACAGAAGTGCCGACAAAAATCCACAAAGACATTGACAATTGACAAAGACATTGATACTTGACAAAGACATTGACAACTGAAAAAGGCATTGTGACTATTCACTAAAAATATCACTATTTTTAGTAATTCATTTAACACAAATAACATTGCTGCCTAAAATATAAATTTAGAATAAAATTACAACTGTTTAAACATTCAAATTCTTTTACATGTTCCAATAGATTTACACATAATGTTTAGATTACTGATATTAATGCATATCCTTTCGTTTTGCAGTAACTCTTCACTAAAGTCAGCTTTAAGCAAAGAAGAAGTAAAACAAGAATCTGAAAGTATGGATAATAGCTTTGTAGAAAAGTCCGAAGACGGTCCAATTAGACCTAAGATGGAGAAGCAGCTGTCTGACAGCTCGATGCATAGCGTTTCTGCCAAACTTAAATACCTGGCTGGTAGTCCTGTAGTTTTAAGGAAAAGAAGAAGTAAAGAAAATGATCTGGCGAGGATATCTAAGACGTTACCAAGAGGTAAATGTATATTATTTTAAAAGCATTGCTTAGTTTACATATTTCGATATTTATTAGATGGGTATTGTTAAATAAACTGTAATGACATCATTAAAATTTCTCAATTCAGTAGATTGTTGCCCTAATTATTAGCTGTTTATCTTTTCTTGTATAAAGTTTGATAAGCTGCAAGTAAACATTAGTTAAACTCGATTTAAGCATTTTTAATTGTAATTCTGAAACGTTTGTTCAAATAATACATATTAGTGCGGATAATTTAAAAAAGTTTCATCATCATCATCATAGATATGATGCAATAGAGGCAATAGAGGCTCGTTTCCCAAGTGCGAGAAGAAACCTGACGCGAAGCAGTTCTGAGTTCCTGCGTCTTTTCTATAATGCCTAATTTTTCCATGTGACCTTCTCATTATTTCCATTTTTAAAAAGGGAAAAGGGATAAGGAATTATCCTGTTTTAAGGAAGGAAAACAGACAACTACCTATGTTTCTAAAAGACAACTAAACTCATCAAGCTAAAGGAAAAAAGACAAGTAATATGAAACAGGAGGAATGACTTATGCAGATGATAAATAACATCTTAATATTTCATATGAATTTTTTATACACATTATGAAGAAAATTATGTCCTGAATAAACAAGCACTTAGTTTCCAGAATACGTGACTTTCAGTTTTACTAGATTTTCTAGATCTTTTCTTTCAGTTTTACTAGACTCTTTCTAGATCACACTTGGTAAAACGTTTCAAACCGAAAAAACAAGTGATTACTGGTTCATATAAGATCATGAACGTAGATAACTCTTGAATATTGTCCATAGGCGATGAATATGTCCATAGGACATATCTTTCCTGAATAAAAGAAGAGTTAGAAACCTGTACATAACGTTTAGCTACAAACGCCGTATCTTATTAGCGAAGCTATATCTCCTTACTGATTAAAATATGTCTAGACACTTCTAGGTAACATTTACGTAACATCACAAACCTGACAGAGCTACTAATTTTTACTGCTTGAAGTCCATGATACTAGTTAGGAGGTGGATGAACACTGAATTGTATAGTATAGAGGTGTCGAAAACTATCTACTTTTTGGCGGTTAGGCCAAGTGGGTCACTTCACCCATAGTTATTAAAATGTATATTCAGACATAAATATTTTTAAAATGTGGAATCCAGTACTTTTAATAGAAAATCTCTTCTTCAAGTGCCCTGTCTGTTGCGAACGTTGGCTATTAACATGGCAATTCTGATCTTGTTTGCTGCGCTTCTGAATAGTTCGACCGATGTGAGCCCGAACCACTTCCGCAGATTTTGGAGCCACGAGTGTCTTCTCCTGCCTGGCCCCCGCTTACTGTCTATTTTTCCCTGGACAATCAATTGCAGCAAACGGTACTTGTCGTGTCTCAATATGTGGCCTAGATATTCAAGCTTTCTTTGTTTAATTGTATTCACGATTTCTTTCTCCTTTCCGATTCTTTGGAGTACCTCTATGTTGGTGACATGTTCGGTCCAGGATATACGAAGAATGCGTCGGTACACCCACATTTCGAATGCTTCTAGTTTTCTCATGAGCGTCTCCGTCAGCGTCCAGGCCTCCACACCATACAGTAAGATCGAAAAAATGTAGCATTTAACTAGACGTAGTTTTAGGGGAAGAGACAAATCCTTGCTTATGAGGAGCTTTTTCATATTGATAAATGCTGCTCTAGCTCGTTCTATTCTCGCCTTAATTTCTGTGGCCTGTTCCCATTTTGCATTTACTTTGGTGCCAAGGTACACATAAGATTCTACATGGTCAATTAGTATGCTGCTTATCCGTAATTGTCGAGCAGGTTGTTGCGTTTTGCTTATCAGCATCCACTTTGTCTTCTTGAAATTGAGGCTCAGGCCGTATTTCTTACTAACTGAATAAACTCTTTCCATTACCTGTTGTTATTCGTCTATGGTACTGGCAAGGAACACCGTGTCGTCGGCATATCTTATATTGTTCGTTAACTCGCCGTTTATTTTTATACCCTCGTTTGCATTTTCCATATATTTGTTAAATATTTCCTCGGAATACATATTGAATAGTAGTGGGGAGAATATACATCCCTGACAGACACCTCTTTTGATCTGCACACTTTCAGTGAGTTCGTTGCCAATTTTTGCTCTTGCTGTTTGACCCTAGTATAGGTTTGCCACAATTCGAATGTCCTTGTTGTCAATACCTGTCTTTCGCAGAATATCTATCAATTGTTCATGATTGACATTGTCAAATGCATTTCTAAAATCTACAAAGCACAAATACACGTCCTTATCAACGTCTCTACACCGCTGTATAAGCACCTGGAGAGCGAAAATTGCTTCTCTAGTTCCAAGTGCTTTCCGAAAACCAAACTGCGATATATCAATATTTGATTTTCATTTCTGTCAAACAGAAAATCTCTGTTTGACCTAATTACAGCACATTTAACAACATTGATGCCACTTTTTTCTAGAATAAATTTACTTACTTTTAAATTGTTTGATTACTTCAAAAGAATTTGAACAATAACGTTGCTGCAACATTCTTATATTTATTCAGCTTAAAATATTGTTAATATAAGAATAGGTATTGAGATATTAATGTATATGATTAAATAGCATGCTTAAAACTGTTCTATATTTATGTAATATATAATTTTGTTTTCAGGTTTAGGTAACGGTGGATCAATCTTTTCAACGTCTAGCACATCTTCCCAAAGTTCAGGTGATACAAATAACGTATACGGCCTCTACAGCGAACTGATGTACGTCAAAGACTACGAGCGGGAAGAAAACATCCTTACCGATCCAGTATATGAATCTCTTAGACGCAGCGATCCGGAACTAGCTGCTATTCCAAACAAAGTCAGTACTCTCGACAGAAGACTGAAGATGAAGGTATCTCGACCAAGATCCTTAGACTTATCGAATTGGTCGGTAGATTCCAGGTCCTCTAGCCTATGTACCTCGTCCGGATCAGAAGAGAGCATGGCTATGAGGCTTAACAACATGGCGCGAAGCGTTTCAAGGAATAACTCGAATGCCTCCAGACAGCTGAACGGTGTTAGTGAAACAGTTATAGAAAAAGAAACTCCGGTAGAAAAAGAGGCTGTCAGTGTAGTAAAACCAACAAATAGTAGGACATTATCTAAGAACAAAAATAATAATTTTGACAACGGTAGAAGGACTGTCATTACTTTAATGGGCGGTAGAGGCTATGTTAATTACAGACAACCTTGCTGCTCGGCAGATAAAATGAAACCCGGTATTACCGGCAAAGATGCTAATTGTAATGATGCTCATATTGTTATATGGGAATTAAAATTGTGATCTGTTTAGGACAAAAATGTTTTTATTAAAAATTATTTAAAAAAATGGAGAAAGCGTTTTTCTGGTCTATGAAACGTACAAAACGAGTCAGAAAAATAGAAATATAATATATTAATAGCCAAAAGATTTTGTAATAATGTTAGCCCAATATTATAAATTATTGCCCACTAGTATCGGTGTAACATGTACTTTTCTACCAAATATTTTGTATCTAATATAACTGATAATACTCTCAAGTAGAATTAGTTTTATATCTCCATACCAACCAGCTCTCTTGTTAGTAAATATAACTTCCTCCTTTACAAAGTCCGAATACTAATTTATTCTTCACTTCATCGTAGGTCTTTATAGATTTTTCTTTTCCCATACACGTGATCTTTTTTTTTTGGATTTATTCTATAACAGGATCAAACGAACTGGACTGCTTTTTACGAATAATATTAATTGTTAAATAAGTGATGGATTCGAACGTTACTTGATGAAAATTCTTCCAAAAAATTTATTATATCTTATCACTACAGCTCTGTTTCGGTAGAGCGCCTTTCTCAAGTGATCTATTTTTGGAATGTGTTTGTACTTTATATTCTTTAACTGAAAAAGTTGAGGAGGGGAGAACTGTTTGTCTGAAGTTATTCATTCAGAATTATGTCTATATTTTTTAATTTGTTAATTTCCATAGATTCTAATAAAAGATACCTTTATTTTTAATTTGAAGAATTTGAAATTCGTAATTAAAAGAATGAATATGATCTAGAAGGTGAAGTGCGTATGCAGAATCTGTTTTTCTATTATTGAAAGCCCTTTTATGTTCTGCTATACGTTTGTTAAAAGTTCTACCAGTTTGACCGATGTAAGTTATTGTGCAATCCCTCATTTGAGCTTGTATACACCACTAAGTGTTTTTATTTTGGCTCTTGTTGTGTTTAATATATTTTCCCAAGTTATTAGTTCTAAAAGCTGGTGTTATTCCTTTCTTGTTTATGTAGTTGGGTATTTTTGTTGATTTGTAATCGAGCAGAAGGAACAAGGTATTTCTCTTGTGGTGGAAATACTAATTCCAAGGGTTTCTTTGTAGTTTTTGATTTAAAATTTTATATTGTTTGTCCGATGTCCATTGTACCCATTGTTTACTGTAATTTGCTTAATGATATTTAATTCTACCTCAAAGTTGTATTTTGACATCGGAATTTTTATTAATCTATGTATTATGATATCAAAATACAACTTTGAGATATAATTATACACAAGAAAGCCCTGAAATTAGTATTTCCTCCACCAGAGAAAAAACCCAGTACTTGCTCTGTACGTGCTCGATTACATATCAACTAAAATAGCCAAACACATAAAAAAGAAAGGAATAACACCAGCTTTTAGAACAAACCACAACTTAGGCAAATATATTAAAAACAACAAGAGCCAAAATAAAAAGCACTTACACAGTGGTGCGTACAATGTTGAATGTGGCGACTGCATCAAAACTTACATTGGTCAAACTGGTAGAACTTTTAACAAACGGATAGCAGAGCACAAAAGGGGTTTCAATGATCGAAAAACAGATTCTAGATACGCACTTCACCTTCTAGATCATAATCATTCTTTTAATGACGAATTACAAATTCTTCACATTCAAAATAAAGGCCTTAAGCTATTTGTGTTAGAATCCATGGAAATTAACAAATTAAAAAATACAGACATTAGACAGAATCCATGGAAATTAACAAATTAAAAAATACAGATATTGAGTTAAAAATTGCTATAAAGTATAAACACATTCCAAAAATAGATCACTTGAGAAAGGCACTGTGCCGATACAGCTGTAGTGATAAGATATAATAAATTTTGTGGAAGTTTTGAAAACAAAGTTTTCAGTGTTTTATTTTTATATCAATTGTTAGTGTTTAGTTAATACTTCATTTCATATGGAGTGCCACTTGATATTAGGTATGCAGGTACTTATATATTCAAGTGATTTAGTGAGTTCGTTTTATTTTACAATTTGATAATGGACAGCCAGAGTGTGACGTCACGGCAGCCATATTGTTTTTATTACTTTCCAAACAAAAGTTAAAAAGCCAGGTATTTTTTACGATGATACCATCATATTTCGGTGTTTAGAAGATTAAATTAAAGAAATTCTAACCTTACTTTTTTGATACATGCATTTTATTGCTATTTTTATAAAACAGCATGCTTTATTATTTACACAACCTTGTAAAATTGTTGTAGTAACTATTATAATACTTAGATATTGCAAAAAGCGTAAAGATTCTGTAAAAAAAATTAAAAAATATCGAAAAATACAAATTATCCATACGAAACACGTTTTGTTTGGAAAGTGAAACTGACAGATGTCAATAAAAATAAATTCTTCTACGTCATCACTCCGGCAGTCCATTAGTTAATACGTGCTTTCCTTTCGTATATTTTAAGTATTGCATTGTTTACACACTATATATATATTCAGATTCATATTTCTTTACCTTTTGGTATTTAACGCATTCTTAAACACCTTTGATTTTTGTGTTTAAATTAAAATATAGGCTTATTAATTTGTTTTTTTCTACCAAAGCTTTCTGTGTTGCTATTTCCATCAATATCGCTACCTAGGTAATTGTAGGTTGTGAATAGTCGAAGTTAATTTCCTTTGCGTTTTTATATTGATATTCCCTTGTTTATATCATTTTTTTATCACTTCAGTTTTTATAGAAAAGTGGACATTTTCCTTAATAAAAAAATATTGCTCAAATATATACAGATATTACAACTTTCTGACTGATTTTTGACTCGGTTTGTACATTTAAATTAAATTTTATATATTTTTTTGATAAATTAAATGATATTTGCGAAAACATCAGAATCAGACCGATTAAGCCTTTTTCTTAACACTTATTGAGTGCTTTTTATATGGTAACATTGTTATTGTGGATCACTAAGAGATAGAAAATCGAATAAGATAGATTCATCAAGTTGTCTAATTGTGTCCAGGTTTGTATCATTTCCTTAAAACCTTAAACAGTCTGTGTCCTTCTAGAAGTTGGGCTCTAAGCCTTTGTAGGTATGAATATACGATCTTCGTCAGTCAGTAGCGCACCTAGAATTTTCCTGGTGGGGGGTTGGTTGGGCACCCAAATTTTTTTTGCTGCCTCCATTTTGAGTCCTTAAAATCTGGTTTCTAGTTTAATTTAGAGACAGCAGTGCCAAAGATTCAGGTATGTGTTATGCTGCCTACCAACTAAAACCACCCTCTCCTACTTGTGCGCAGTTAATTGTCGCACGTACTGTACTCCGACAGTGTGATGGCCGCTGTAAGGCTAACGACATTTTTGAAACACTCCCTTCTGTTATCTAAATCCTATCTCTGTCGTTGTTTCGGTTGGTGTTTTTCGTTTTCTTCTTTCTTTTTAATTACTGTTGGGATCATCTCTCTCACTGTTACAGGGTTCATACCTATTTCTCTTCTCTCCACTGTACATCTATTACATTCCAGCATTGTGTGTGTAACAGTGTCGAAATATTCGCAGTATAGTCATTTATCTGTGTCTGTCTTTGTGAACCTATGAAGATATGCCCTAAAACAAACAATCTACCCAGTTTCTTAGGCTCGAGATCAGTATCTTGGTCCACTGGGCAACATCTTCCTTTGTTGTTCCACTCTTCTTGCGATCTTTCCATTGATCTTTCCCTTTCTTCTTTTTTTTATGACTTTTGTCAAAAGCTCCCTTCTCTCATAGAGATATCTCCTTTCTACTGCTAACACTTGCAGCTGTAGGCGTTTGCTACTCGCAACAGACTCGTTCTGTCTACTCGTATCAGCCTAATATTAGGTATCTATAGCTTAGGTATCTATATAATATATCTAAGCTTGGCTTATCATTATACTTGGTTTTGCTAATGTCTAATTCTCAGTTTTTTACTGTCGATACACCTACACTTTTGATTAATTTCTAAATTCAATTTTTTCAGTTAAGTGTGTAATATTGAAAGCTCTTATTTTGAGATAGAGAGTATAGAGGTATAATTCCTTAACTACTACAGAGGTATAATTCCCTTAAAAGAAACTTTTGTTGAGATATATTAGGAGATAGTGAATAAATGTTTTATTTTGTATAGTTATATTTAGTAAATTCTAAGGATAAACACTACTTTGAATTCTTCTGGTATATATATACGTATATTTCAAATTAGTTTGTTGCATTACTAAGTTGGTATGCGTTGTCTTAACAGTAACTTCCTGTCCAATACGAAAAGATCTTCTGTCTTTTATATCTTCCAAAATAGCACCTGTTATACTCTGATAAAAAGCACCCAATAAAAAATAAATGTGTATTTTAGATAGCTATTATAAATGTCAATATTTTTATGGCCTATGAAATATTACAATTTAGGATCTTTCTAAGTTTATTTCTTAATTTATTTTGATGTCAAACCATTTCTTAATTTATTATTTTTGAACATAATGTCATCACAATTACACAAAAAATTACCTGGACTACCCTTATTACCTTTAGATATATTTGTATATTTTATATTCAACACATGTCCCTGTTATTTTTTTAAAATAGTTGCATGTTACTATAATAAATTTATTATTGTTCACTGTGTTATATCAGAGCATATATTGAAATAAAGTGTAAAACTCATTTTATTTTTATTTTTTACCTACAAAATTTAAGTAAGTTTTGAAGTGAAAACATCTTTAGCGACGTTGTGCACTTTTTGGATGGGTGAAAAGCACTTTACCATTTACATTAATACCATCCCCGCTACGCAAATTGGTCGCAAAGTCGCACAGCTCAAGAACGGCTCGACGGATTATGACGTATGAAGTCTTGTTGGAAAGGGGCGTAGGAAAAATAATAAAATTATATCGTAATCGAATAATTAACCTTAAAGTAAACGAGACCACACTAAGCGAAATCTAAACGCAGTGAAAAAGATGAAAACAACAAAGCACCAGGAGAAGATTGAGTCGTAATAGAAGCTATAAAGATGAGCGGACG